ATAATCACAGAATAGATATCAGACAGTCATGTACAACAAATCCGACATACATAGTTATCACAGTTGAATTCTCATATAGGATCAGTTGAGGTGCGTATACGTGGCAATTATGGAATACAATAGAATGGAATGGAACGAAAAATTGCAATCTTATAAGGAACCTTGTCTCATAAGTGGATAGCTCAGTGGTTTAGGTCTCTGGCTGTGGAGCCACATGTTGAGAGTTCCAATCCCCACTGTGTCTTCCCGACAGGGGCTTGATTCGATGACCTATGGAGTCCCTTCCAGCTTCGCAATTCTAAAATGATTATAAACAGGGTATTAGCAGCCTCTAGTCTGAATGATCTGACAAATGGAGCCTGAAGTGGATGAATAAAGCAACATCTCAAATCATAATATAAATCTCTGTACATGTATATCAGGGATTTCTTTTTTGCATGGGCCCAAAGGGATTCTGAAAAATCTCTTGTGCCCTGGATTATTGCATTGGGCAGATCAGACTCTTGTTAAGAGTAAACATTCTGTGCACTTGAATGTCATTAAGGGAGATAGTAGGATGGTAAAATATCATAAGCAGATAAAATAACCAAGGGAAAACAGGCGCTAGGGTGTTTTTGGTATGAAGTACTATCCAGATGAATCCCAAACTGGAATTAAGATTGCCGGAAGAAATATCAACAGCCTCAGATATGCAGATGATAACACTCTGATGGCATAAAGCAAGGAGGAATTAAAGAACCTCTTAATGAGGGTGAAAGAGGAGCGCTCAAAAAATTGTCTGAAGCTCAACCTCAAAAAACCTAAGATCATGGCCACTGGTCCCATCACCTCCTGGCAAATAGAAGGGGAAGATATGGAGGCAGTGACAGATTTTACTTTCTTGGGCTCCATGATCACTGCAGATGGTGACAGCAGCCACGAAATTCAAAGATGCCTGCTTCTTGGGAGGAAAGCAATGACAAACCTTGACAGCATCTTAAAAAGCAGAGACATCACCTTGCCAACAAAAGTCCACATAGTCAAAGCTATGGTTTTCCCTGTAGTGATGTATGGAAGTGAGAGTTGTACCATAAAGAAGGCCGATTGCCGAAGACCTGATGCTTTTGAATTGTGGTGCTGAAGGAGACTCTTGAGAGTCCCCTGGACTGCAAGGAGAACAAATCTATCCATTCTGAAAGAAATCCACCCTGAGTGCTCACTGGAAGGACAGATCCTGAAGCTGAAGGACAGATCCTGAAGCTGAAGCTTGAATACGTTGGCCATCTCATGAGAAGAGAAGACTGCCTGGAAAAGACCCTGATGTTGGGAAAGTGTGAAGGGAAGAGGAGGAGGGGATGACAGAGGACGAGATGGCTGGACAGTGTCATGGAAGCAACTGGCATGAATTTGAGCCAACTCCAGGAGGCAGTGGAAGATAGGAGAGCCTGGCGTACTCTGGTCACTTTGTGTCAGACATGACTTAACGACTAAACAACAACAACAACAACTATCCAGATGTTCAGCTATAAATACAGTGTCCATGTTTGGTAAGGAATTGTAGATAGTGCGTTTAAGAGGAAATAAAAGTAAGAAATGACTGACAAATAGGGCTGCATGGGGATTCCCCCCCCCAATTCAAATTGAAGGGGAATTCAGTGTTTTGAACCAGATCGTTAAGGTCAGGTAGAAATCCAGTATGCCATGTGGAGCAATCATTGCATCCACATAGCATAAGCACCTTAAGTCAGTGGTCCCCAACCTTGGGCCTCCAGATGTTCTTGGACTTCAACTCCCAGAAATCCTGGCCAGCAAAGGTGGTGGTGAAGGCTTCTGGGAGTTGTAGTCTAAGAACATCTGGAGGCTCAAGGTTGGGGACCATTGCCTTAAGTGACTCTATTTCGTCTGTCTCCTTTAAGAAAAGCTGGAAAGAAAAAAAGAGGGGGGGGGAATCATCTCCTTGTCCCTTCCCATTTCTGGGAAAAAAGCTTTCATTTAAAAACCAATTCTAAATGGTACAGCACATTAGTGCTTCCCTACCTCTGTTCCATGGAGGAACAGAAGAAGAAAGGAAGCTTTTAATTTCAGAACTTCCCCCCTTTCCAATATCATTAAGCATTTAGGCTTTCTGCTTAAACTACTAGGGTTGTTGGGAAATTGGAACCAGCTGGGAAATTAAAAGTAGGAAGCTTCATTTTGGTTGATTCCCAGCAACTGTATTTCCTGGAAATTAACCAAAATGGAATCATCCTACTTGCACACACACCTCCAAAAAAGAGTAGCCCCTGACAGGGATTTAGAAACATATGGGTAAGAACACTTTGGGGGCTGGCTGGCTGGTTCTAGCAAAAATGTTGTCACCGGTAAAAGGAGTGGACCAAACAGTGGGCTAAATGTCTTTGTTGTTACCCTTGTAGTCTCTCTTCCTAGTTTAGGAGATTCCCTAAAATCATCTCCATTGTCTGAAGGCAGACGGGAATCCTGGCATTCTCTCCCACTTCACAATAATTCCAGGCAATATCTCCCTTTCCTTTTGGTGGAAGTGACCTTTGCCTTCTGTCTCCAAGGCCTGTCAATGTAGTGGTGCTGCTTTCTGCCTGCCTCTGATCTTCAGGCTCACATGGAGTCCTCTTCACAGTGAGAGCAAGCTTCGTTCCACTCTTATTTGGGGGGTGAAGGTAAAAACAGCCTGCCTCCCTCTGGCCCTAGAGGTAGCATGGCATTTGTGTTAATGTTATGGAGATGCCTCAAGACTGAATACGTTTAGTTAAATAACACAGAGATATAAGAGCAATCTAATTAATAAATTTTCTGTTGAAACGGTAAGTGATATATACTGTATAAGGAGAACTGAAAGGAGATACAATGGATCAGAAACAGAATGTTGTTCTTTGCTCACACATCTATGAATGAAATGGGCAATAAAATCACAAATACTAGTACTTCTTGTTGTGACTCAAATGCACTGCATGAATTATACAAGCAACATAATCTTTGCAATTAAAATAACATATGTTTCCTGGCAGAATTCAGTTTAATACACAGTTGCACACATACTGAGCTATCAATTCAGTGTAGATGGACTTTACCTGCCTTTATTGTTGCCAAAGGACTTATTTCACAACATTGGAAAGACAGATGCCTACCCCACCCCTATAACTCAATGGGCAGAAGACTTTACAACAGATGAACAGATGACAATTATGTACAGATATTTGTCTACATCTGGAAAGCTTTTCTTGGAAATACTTTCTTCCTCCCTCTTTTTCCCCCTTTCCTTTTCTCTCCTCTCTGTTTTTAGTTCTACTGTATTATATTTTCAACTGATATTTTGTGTGTTTTTAAAAGTTAACTGATAAAAAATGTACAAAACCACAATTGCATGCACATAAGTTGATACAAACACATACAACACAGGGCAGTATGTATGTATGTATGTATGTATGTATGTATGTATGTATGTATGTATGTATGTATGTATGTATGTATGTATGTATGTATGTATGTTGTATGTATGTATGTATGTATGTATGTATGTATGTATGTATGTATGTATGTATGTATGTATGTATGTATGGGAAAGCAAATCAGCCCCCCAAAATACAACTTGGGGCCAAAAAAGCAGGTGGGAAGGTACAAAGTAAGTTTTAATTTCTAAAACTCGTGGAGTCTTGGACAAAATAAACAGACTTTATGACTCAAACGAATTAGAGAAGAGAGGATTAAGTAAAAGGCTACTGAAGTCACACTAAAATGGCAAAAGGTAGAGCGATGACCAAGGTTAAGCTCAAACTACAGTAAATACAACTAAGTTCTCAGACGCCCTTCACTATGAGTGCTCCTACACTGCTATATCTGGCAAAAGAAAATTAAAAAAAGAATTGCTTCAGATAATTGAACATATAACTTCCGTGACTTCACACAACTTTTCCTTGCAGGTGTTGCCATTGAAGAGCAGTGGTGAGTAATGTGCCTCAAGTTGCATGTTATGGATTTCAGTAAGTAAGGCTGGCTGCCTCCTCCTTCTGCTAACACCACTTTGCTGCAGATCCATTGTCAGCCGCATTGTCTAAGTCTCCAGATTAGTCTGACTTGATCCAGACATTCATTGGAATCAAATCTGGGCATTTTACAGTGGTGCCTGGCTAGACAATGATAATCCGTTCCACTGAAATAGCTGTTTAGCGAAATCATTGTTTAGCGAAAAGCATTTCCCCATTGAAATGCGTTGAAACCCGTTTAATGCCTTCCAGTGGGGAAGAATCGTCGTTATCTAGCGAAGATCGGCTGTAGGAAAGCCGCTTTGCAAACCGCCAATCAGCTGTTTAAATCGCTGTCTTGCGAAGCTTAGGTCCCAAAAACACCTGTTTGCGAGCGCGGAGGGAGCTGTCAAAATTGTCGTCTAGCAAAAATCAGTTTGCAAAGCAGGGACCAAACATTGTCCAGCGAAATTCCCCCATAGGAATCACTGGTTGGCAAATTGCTATAGTGATCGCAAAAAGCCAATGTCTAGCGAAAAAACTGTCATGCGGGATAACTGTCTAGCGAGGCACCACTGTACTTCGATTTTGACCACACACAAGTAGGTCTCAATCGGCACTCAGAATTAAACTGAAGATGGTGTGCAGCCCTAAATGAGAGTAAGAATTACATTATTAACACTGGTTTAAAAAAAGAACACCACTGTTACTCATCACAGAAGTATCCTTGGCACTAGATAAGCTACGACATATGTATGGTCAAAGTCAGTTAGTCAGATTCCAACTGTGAGTGATAGACTGGAATTTCCAAATGAAGTTTTGCTGTGTCTCTTGCTCTAACCTTCCTTTGAAGTGACAGAATAATCTGGGAGTGCAAGCCATTCTCTTTTCAGCCTTACCAAAGAGTAAAAGAAGAACTTGAAGGGACAAACATAAAAATGAGGAAGAACCACCAAAATAATATGTGGTGTCACTGTCATCCTGTAGTATTTTCTATCTGTGCATAGGTTTGCAAGTGGAGATTTTTGTGATCAAATATCTTACCTTCACCCATTGGCCACCTGTTGCCAATTGAAGTAGAATATTCCATCCATTTGAGGAAGTTGATAATCCCAGTGAATTTTTCTTTTTAGTTCTGTGCTGTCATGTATCTGATATCCCACTCCTTTCTGTAAAACAAAAGAACAAAACAATTCCATTGAAGTCCATAGTGATGTTATAAGTACATTGAAATAAGAAACACAGGGAAATAATTGCGAGGGGGGAGCACTACTATGCCAATATTAGAATTAAGAAGTAATCAGGACAGACATATGATTGGGGCAATGGAATGATTCCAATAAGAATTAAAGCCAGGTCGATATTCCACTATCTTCAAGACAAAACAAAATCTCATAAAAGAAAATATGCAGCAGGAGTGAGAGACACTGTAGTACAAACAGCAGGTGGACCCCCCACTGCTGGGATTCAGTAGCTGATTGGAATGTTCAATCAGCATGGACGTTTCTCAGCAATCTGAGGGAAATTAGAAAAAATGTATCTGTTGTGTATTGTATAGACTTGAAGATCAATCTAGATGCTTAAAAGCAAACACTGTATAGTGTAATTTTTAGAGCAATGAGTTTCTCTTGTGCAAATCTGGGTTCAAATGCATATTGGGGATGAAACATAACAGAACTCCAAATACAGTGGTGCCTCGCTTAATGATTGCTTCGTTAAATGACGAAACTGCTATACGATGACTGTTTTGTGATCGCAAAACAATGTTTTAATAGGCAAAATCCGCTTTGCGACAATCGGTTCCCTGCTTCGGGAACTGATTCTTCGTATTATGACAATTTTAAAACAGCTGATCGATGGCTTCAAAATGGCCACCCACTGTGTAAAATGGCTCCCCGCTTTTGGACGGATTCCTCACTATACAGGCACTGAAAATGGCCGCCCCTATGGAGGATCTTCGCTGGACGGTGAGTTTTCAGCCCATTGGAATGCACTGAATGGGTTTTCAATGCATTTCATTGGGTTTTTTATTTTCGCTTAACGAGGATTTCGCTGGAACGGATTATCCTCGTTAAGCAAGGCACCACTGTATGTGAAGTATTTTGTCACAGCAGAGAGTGCTCAGAGATGTTCCATGCTTCCCTAGAGGGCAGGATCAGAACCAGGGGAAGCTACATTTATATGCTTAGTAATTCCAGGAGATGTAGTCCGGAAAACAGAACATTCCGAAGCTTTGGACTTAATGGACATAAATTGTAGGAAATACAATGCACTTTAAGATTATGATAACAATATGGATGTTAAGATCAGTTTGTCAATAGAAGCATATCCCAAGAGAAATGGTTGGCTTTTCTTTCCGGTAGGTCTGAAAAGAGAGTTTGGACAACCACCAGCTAAAGATGTTTTAGCTGTGGATTGTCTGCACCGAGCAACCTGCCCTATAAAGCTCTATCCATCTCTGTGACCCTTCATTTCTAAGTAGTGGGACACACAAAAAGTGTAGGGAATTCAGGTTTCCCCAATCTGTTTGCAGACTGGAAAGATGAGGAAAGTCTTGTTTGCAGTTCTATTGTAGTGTGCAAGAAATGCAGTTACAATGAATCTACAAAGTAAGCTGTAAACAATGGGTTCCTTCTCTCATTATCTGGTGCCAACTGTTTTTTAAAAGGAAGTCTTGCTAATGGAGAGAGCCTTTGCTTGCTGTTCCTAAGAATGTATGCTGGTGCAGTGGATTTTCTGCATTGGTTCAAGCAATCACACCAATGCAAATGGATCTGTTGTTGTTGTTGTTGTTGTTTTAAGTAGAAGCACTAGTGGGGAAGGCAAAAATACAGATGAGGGAGTGTCTCTGAGCTGATTCTCATTTCCTTTTGTATCATGTGGTCAATGGAAAAAAAGTGAATCAGCCCATCCCAATCCCAGGGCATTTCCTACAATTTTTATCAATGTGGTCATACCCGAAAGGATGAAGCACAATGTAGTAGCATAAAGTGGAAATGCACAGCATTTATATTAGGATGCTGGCTAAATTTAAATTAGACTTTATTTTTGTGGATTCTTTCTAAAGTGGTCACAAAATGACAAGTAAAGAGGCAGAGTTTATTAATTCTAATTAATCTTATTAATTCACTTGTAAAGGTAAACAAATATTTGAAACATGGCAACTTATTCATGGTGATCACTACAAACCTAGGGCTTTTTATAGGAAGATGAGAATGTGGAATCACTAATATTTCCTAAAAGGCATTGCCCACAACTTTTAACACGATGCTCTGATTTAGCATATTGTTGATGCTGTTCTTGCTGCCTGTGCTGGTGACTTTGAAGCAATAGATGGGTAAAATCCATATTAGAAGGTTTCCTTTAAAAAAAAAAGGTCTGTGCAATTCAGTCCAATTTAAGGTTACAACCTTTAAAGTCTAAATGCAACATTCAAGGCTTGGTAGGTGGGAGACTGCAATAAATTGCCGATAAAGAGCTATTGCTTCTCAATGGTTTTCCATAAAGGTTTTTTTTTTTTAACTTCAACTCCTAACAAGATTTTCTCTTTCTCTTATAAAGTAGGCCATCCTTTAAGGACAGAGTTTATCTAAAGTGGCAACCATTGCATTTTTTAAAACTGTTGGTAGTTTAGATACAGAAAGGGAGGGGGGAAGGGAGAAAAAAACGGGCAAGGAAGAAAAGGAGGGTGGCCAAAAAAGCACATTGTTCTGCATGGTAATTACTCCACAATGCTTGGCATTAAATGGACAGTTGTGGGTCCCAAGAACCATCTGAAGCCTGCATTGTCCTTGCATGATAAAAAGATTAGAAGCTGAAAAGCAGAGGAACCGAATCTCACAGCTTCTTCGCCTGCCCAGTGAAAGGACCATTGTAACATCCTCATAAATCCTCAGCTCCCTGGGCTCTTGACAACTAGAGCAATGGACAATAGAATTCTTGTGTTGAACAAAACATTCCTTGTTGGCCAATGGGCTTATCTGCTTAATTTACAAATGTCTCTCATTGTTCCCCAAATAATTCTCTATTAGAAAAACTACTATGGGGAGGGGTACTAAATAAATATTCACAGCTTTGTGGTAAATTTGCTAGCATGAATGCACCAATTTAAAAAACAAAACAAAACCATGAACGATATGAGACCTCTGCTTTCTCTTTTCCCATTTCTCAGGCGCCCATTTATCACTCTGGTAAGTTCCAAATGCAGAGGCTCTCCTGTCACAGATCCTTCCTGTCCATGTTATGATAACAAGAGCGTAAAAGATTAGAATGTTCCAAGAGTGAGAAAGAAATATCAGCAATGCTGTAGGATCTGGAAAAAGCTAGTCCAGCGTCCTTGAGAGGTGGCCTTTAAACATCTATAGGGAGATCTATTCAGAGGCCTGTGCTTATGAGGTCTATGTGAGCACTTTTGATGCAGCATGCTCCCATGTCTCTCCAAGACAACTGTTAAATTGCATTTTAGGTAAAGGTAAAGGTTCCCCTTGACATTTTCAGTCCAGCCATGTCCGCCTTTAGGGGGCAGTGCTCATCCCATTTTTCAAGCCGTAGAGCCAGCACTTGTCAGCGAAGACAGTTTCTGTTGTCACGTGGCCAGCGTGACTAGGGAGGGCCGTTTTACCTTCCCACCGAGATGGTACCTATTTATCTACTCGCATTTTTACATGCTGTCGAACTGCTAGGTTGGCGAGGAGCTGGGATGAAGCGACAGGAGCTCACTCCATCGCGTAGATTCGATCTTACGATCTTACGACTGCTGGTCTTCTGACCCTGCAGCACAGGCTTCTGCAGTTTAGCCCACAGCACCACCACGTCCCTTAAATTGCATTTTAAATATTCCCAAATTCAGGACTGAGTGGAGGTGAGCTCCCTCACTCATTCCCTCTCCCTCTCTTCTCTCTCTTTCATTTCCTGCTTTTCATCTTTCTACTTCATGACGGATTCTTTCCAGGAACCAGGAAAGTAATGTCTGCAAGTCTGATTATATATGATTTGTAACTGTGATGCATAGTGAAAGTTGTGCCCATGCCTTGAAGTCCAACATCAGGCATTAGCATCACTAACACCCATACAAGGAGTGCGTCATTACTGACACCTGGATTTTGCTCCTGCTTCTCCTTTCAGTTACTCTCTTTGTTGTATCTCCTATTCTCCCTCCCTCCTTCCCTCTTTCTCTCAGCAGCAGATGAGCAGCAATGACATTTGGGAAGAGCAGATGAGCCCCCTGCACAGTGACCTCCCACACCCAAAACTGGAGGCTGGGCTCCTAATCATCTAACCCGTTTCATTTACAATCACAGAACTGATATTTAATTTTATTTTTAAACCCATTATCTTATTTCTATACATTTTAAAGCTTGTATCTGAGAGCTTAATGTCACCAAGTGATACCACCATATCTCTCCCTTTTCACAGCTCAGATACCAATCCAATGTTTCTCCATCTCTGCAGTAAGATCTCCAGTGCACGTTGTTTAGTAAATGAACCAATTCACCTTGTTGTGGCTAGTCCTTTTGATACTGCATTTTGTAGACCCACATTTTGGCTTACTTTGCATAGGATGGCTCTCTATTCAAAGGCGCTCTCTCTCTCTCTCTCTCTGAGAAGAGCTGAGCTTCTAAAACCTGCATTAAAATGAAGAAACATCACAAGAAAGGGCCTTGACATTACTGTTGCTCCTCAATATTTTGACCCCAAAGCACTGAGCAGGTAGGCATACAGATCACCGGGACATAGGGGGCCCCCCCTTGAATCGCTGTGTATAGTTATAGCATGAAATTTATTGTATGCAATTTTTTATCAAAACTCTGCCTCCTCAGTTTTCAGGAAGTGTTTAATGCACAAGTTTTATTTTCTAATGTCCAGCAAAACTATGGTGAAGTCTGGTGTGCCAAACAGTTGGATACCTCCATGATCTGGGTACCTAGTTTTGGAACCAGAGGCTGGGAATTCAGTTCCCATAGTGCCACCCAGGGAGAAGACCTGGTCTTTATGGCCTTGGGTGAGTGACATCATTCCAGACCACTCCCAGAAGGATGGACGTCTTACTCATTCTCTAGAAAACTCTGGAAAGGAGTTAATGGCTTATCATCATCATCATCATTACTAAATAGATCTGCTCTGCATATTCATGGGTGCTTGCAAAGCAGCATATGTGGGCAACCTTTAA